TCTCTCAATTATTTTTACTTTCACTTTCGAAATACATACGCGATACGTGTGTACTTATAAAATATACGTATTATACGTAAATAATCCATGATTACGATTACATTTCTGATGGGCAGATATTCCAAGACAGGACGAAGGAGATGGAGATTGCGAGGATGAAGGAAACCTGGGCGAAAGAGAATCCTGACAGCCTGCAACGTGGAAGGGAGCTCCGTGAAGCTTTCATAAAGAAACATGAAATCAAGTCCAAATCGTCGACAGATTCGCCCGAAAAGAAAGTCCCGAGTCATCCCGAGAAATCGTTGAAAAGAGACGGCCAGCGTTTGTCGGTCGTCGGGACATCGGAGATTTCAATGGCTCATTTGGAGGAGAGGACGTTGAAACCGCCTGCGTCCCTTCGTAGACTTCCTCCTCTGGATCTGACGGTGTACGAGGTCAGAGAGGACGAGGAAGACAAACCACGGATGAAGACGGAATCAGACGAAGAAACGCTGAGGAACATTCGCACGATGAACATCGTCTACGCTCAAGATGATTACGCGCACTTTCTCGAGGAACTGGAGAATCTGTACAGACGACAGAGGTATCAGTATAAAACGTTGTACGGAAGATATTTAGATGAATTTTTCGACAGGAGAGCGATATTGGAAGACGTGTACGAAGCTCGGAGGGTTTATATCAATAGCATGAAGCCTGTAGCTGCTTCCAGTACCAAATCTACCAAGAAGAGTGTTAAGAGCAAAAAATCTAAGAAAACTTAGAGCGATTAATTTAGTTTCTGCTTTAATAATTTACTTAATATTTAACGTAATTGTGACAGAGTAAATATCTGTAACAAGTTACATTAATAAGAAAAGCTTTCGAATAAAAGTTTTATAATTCGTGAAGAATACTAGATTTAACAAAAATATACGAATAAAATACTCGCGAAGATTTTGTGACTAGATTCTTCACGATTGTTTTCCAAGTAACAAATTGCTTGTAATAAACTCACAAACTCGAGCAATTTGAAACTACTGGGCTTGAAATATTGACCATCTCGTTGACCAAATCATTTAAATTCAAGTAACTCAACTAGACGCGAGATTTCAGATACTTAAACTTTATCTAAGAGAAACCACTTTAGTCTCTTAAAAACTTGAGAAATATCTACTAACGCCGTACATACGGTAGCATTTATATATTTACGACACTCGTTTGCGAGAAAAGTGTCTCTAATTGCCGTATGAACCTTGTCCTTGCTAATCGCTAGAACCACCAGCGTCGCGCATATTCCGGTGCAGCGACATTCCTCGCGCGGATTCCGCCAGCTTCGAGTCGTCCTCGAAACGAATAATAATCAAACGTATTACGTTCTGAACAGAAGTGTAGACGACGATAAAATTTGCATTCTTCTGCTGGGAATCGATCACTAGAGGTGTGCAGATACTCGATATTTGGGACTCTGGTCGAGTTGGGAAAAGTCGATTGAATTTGAGCAGGTGCCCAAAGAATCAGTCTGATTGTGTCAAGTAGTCTCATTGCTTCGAATTGCATTGAATAGTCTAATAGATTATAGGCATAATCGGACATGTTCAGTTGAGAATTTTTCGTGGTAAATTTTTTAATCTGTAATGGAAAGGATACGTTCATATACTTGTACAGTTTTTATTATAATCAAACGTTTCGAACTATGTAGAAAGTATTCATTTCTATATAACAAGTGCGGTGAAATATATCACAAGGGATTGAAGTTATAAAAAAAAGTATTCGGATGAAATTTGTTTGATATAAAGGAGTACGCTATATGTTATGAATTATGTTTTTGTAGTTGGAGTGGCAGGGGAGACTTCAAACTCGACTTCATTTTTTTTTAATGAAATTATATAACTTTGAATGTAGCAATCGATTTGTCTAAGCATCTTTTATTAAAAAAGGAAAAAACTACTGACCTATTTGAAAATTGACCTCATTAGTTTCAAGAAGAATTTTACAAAGCTTATCGTGTGAAACAGGAATACTGCTCATATTTTCCTTCGTTTTTCAGAACATCCTGTGTATAATTAATACTAAAAGACGAATTAATCCATTAATAATATTAATAATATTAATAGAATACATCAACAAAGTATTTAAAAATTTTATGTTGAATTAAATTTGCGAGAACATGTCCGACTCCTTTTGATTGATAGTTGCTGACTCATTAATCAACAATCATTAATCATCGGCCACTGATTAATCAGAATTTTAGTTATATTAAGTGATTGGACATCAATAGTAATAAACGATAACGATCGAAGATTTAGGGAGGTGCTTTTAAGCACTATCGTCTACTTGTTTAGTAATGGCGACGTAATGAGGTTGCAAAATCGGTCACCGATAAAATTTTATAATTTTTGACGACCGAGTAATAATCAGTTATTGTAGAAATGCCTTGAAATTCACGAAGATGTAGAGATAATTTGAAATTTGATCTTAGATTTTGTACATTCAATCGTGTATTTAAATTTGTAAAGTTCTGGACTGGATTTTAATGCATTGAAACTTGATTGGTCAAAATGACCAATTTTCATCGACATTTGTGAATCTTTAAAGATTCCAGTGATTCCTCATGAAATACACAGAATAAAGAATTAGTGTTCTTCGTTGCATTATTCCATTAATTAGATTTCCAATTTCTTTAATCTCATTAATTACGTATTGGGTACATATTTATATTAATTATCGGTAAACAATTCTATTTTACCGATTACGTTTAATTCCATTATTAAACGACTCAAACAACCTCGCCTAAAAATTATATTCCAGTGAACTGATTCAAAGTGTAGTTTTCAGCTACTTACCAAGGTTGTAGTGAGTGCAGGGTGGAACTCGAACAGAAGTCGATGTTTGCATACCGGCGACTGGTAGCCTGCGGTGCATCGCGCGGAGAGAACCGTCGACGGGGCACCTTTTAATGACACGCTCCCCGCTCCCCTCGGGAAAAGAAAAGCACGCTGATCCGTTCCGTTCATTTTTCATCCGGGACCAGTCGTCTAGCAAGATTATTACAAAACTGCGCGGGGAAGAGGTCTAGGTTAAGCGCAAGAACAGGTACATCGCCAGCGAGCGACGCGCAGAGCTGTTCGGTCTTATCCACCGTGTGGTTAA